TGCTTCCCAGCCCCAGGCTCCACTCAGGTGTCTGCCAAGACTGCCTGGAATCTGGGGAGGCCACACCCCAGAGAGAAGCCTGTGGCATCTTTGAATCGTGGTGCCAAATGCCCGGGCCTGGCTCCTCTCCGGCGATCCAATTACTAAATGCAGCAGCATTCTTGAAAAAATGTCTTTCCTCTTATGTAACGTGGCCGTGACAAACGCTTAGCAGATGGCGCGGTGACAGGCTTCCCGCAAGCCTGGCTTTCCAAATTCATGTATGGGCATTTAAATGAGCCCAGGGATCCGGGAGGGACGAGGGACGGGCCGCTGGAGGGGCTGGCCAGGCTTCCACCTCAACGGTTGGGGGTGTTAATAGCCTGCATTGGGTTGAGTCCACTGTAAGCACTGGTCAGGACATACCTGGTTTGGACCTCCCGGGGAGACACCATGGGCTTCCCTAAAGCTGGAAAAGGAGGCACCTCCTCTATCCTTTACATCAACATTTTCCCCCAAACTTTTACATTGTCTTTGAAACCGTGGACGTCTCTCCCTGCCTCCCAGGGGGAAGTGGTTTAGTCACAAACTGTGTCAGCTGCTGGCAGCCAGCTCGTCCACCCCCCACCCCACCCCCCCAGCCTTCCTTGCTCAGGGATGAGATCATGCCATTTGGAGGCGATTATAGCTAAAGAATGCTAGGGATGTGCGAAGCCCTCCTCAGAAACCTCCTTCCTCATCACAGGCTGTACCCTGTGGGACGGGCAGGAACTGGAGACCAGGTGCGGGCCCTAGGCTCATCCCCATGGTCCCCTAAAAGCCACATGTTCCCAGCCCCAGCTCAGATCTGACACACTGGGATGCTGGACTGCTGGATTGCATGGTAAATTGGTCTTACCATGTTCAGAGCTGGGAGAGCTCTGAACTGTCTCTGTTCTGATGGGGAAACTGAGGCCAGAGAAAGGAAGCTGTCTGCTCAGGATCCTATGAACCCGTGTGATAGGGCAGGGTGGGTGGCAGCCCCTCTGCTGTCCATGAAGACACCACTGCCTGGACCCCGTCCATCCGTCCACCATCCCCTCCACTCCTGGTCCTGAGTCCCTATTGGGAACCACACTTTCTGCACTCTCAGATCATGTGGTTCAAGTAAAACTGGCCCCTCCTGCACATCCAAGGGCACACACCAGGCTCAGTCCTACCCAGTCAGAGCAGTTCTTCCCTCCCTCCTACCCCGCTGATTCAGATGGCTGGCGCGCAGCGGCGATAGACAAACCAGGTTGGTAAGTGATAACCCCGCTTCCACTTTCCACTTAACTGACGTCATTAGAATGAGACCCTACTCCTGCGCTCTCAGCTGGAACAAGACCTGGGGGTGCTGGTAGCCACCTCTGCCACATCAGGATGTGGCCACCTAAGAACAGAAGCCATGGCCAAAGGAAAGGGATAGAGCAGGCTTTGACTCATAAATCCCTGGAGCCAGCCGCTCCCGAAAGCAGCAGATTCACCTGAGTGCTGGACTAGGCGGATTAGTACATCACCCTTCTGCTAAAGTTGGCTGAGTTCTGTCGCTCATCCACTAAAAGGTTTCAGCTACGAAACAAGGCTCCAAAACAGGGTGCTGAGTGACCCTCTCGCTATCCCCAGAAACCCCAACTCCCCTGTCACACACAACGACGCAGCTGAGGCTGTACCCGTGGGCTAGCTCCCAGCTGATGGCCCATGACCATTCTGTGCGCCCCACAGCCTCTGCTTCCTGCTTGGTTCGGAGCGCACACAAGTCCTTTTCAAAGCCCAGCTCCACCCAGCATTCCCTGCCCCAAGGCCTCAATACACCCTGTCGGTTTCCTTGCTTTTCCTTCTTTCCTTCCTTCCTTCCTTCCTTCCTTCCTTCCTTCCTTCCTTCCTTCCTTCCTTCCTCCCTCCCTCCCTCCCTTCATTTCTATTTCTATTTATTTTATTTTTTTTTTATGTTATTTATTTATTTATTTTTGGTTTCTCAAGACAGGGTTTCTCTGTGTAGCCCTGGCTGTCCTGGAACTCACTCTGTAGCCCAGGCTGGCCTCGAACTCAGAGATCACCTGCCTCTGCCTCCTGAGTGCTGGGATTAAAGTTGTGCACCACCGCCTGGCTTCCTTTCTTTCTTTCTCTCCTTTTCTTTCTTTCTTTCTCTCTTTTCTTCTTTCCTGTTTGTACTGTGATTTTCTTTTTTTTTAAACAATCAATTCTTTTTTTAAATTTTATTTGTTTTTATTTTATGTGCATTGGTGTTTTGTCTGCATGTATGTCTGTGTGAGGGTTTCGGATCTTGGAGTTACAGACAGTTGTGAGCTGTCATGTGGGTACTGGGAATTGAACCCGGGTCCTCTGCAAGAGCAATCAGTGCTCTTAACCACTGAGCCATCTCTCCAGCCTCTGTACTGGGATTTTCTTTTCCTTTGTGGTATAACTCCATAGAGCCAAAGTTAGCCTTGAACTTCTGGTTCTCCAGCCGCCGGTGGAGGTCACAGACATGTTCCACTACTCCTTGCTTTATGTCTCTACAATCACACGGGGAAAGATCACCTCTCCTGCAGGCTGCTTAAAGGAACTCAACAGGGCCCCCTGCTCGGCACAACAGAGGCCCTTAGCAAGTGCTCGGGGACTCTGCATGCTCAGAGCTGGGCCCAGCCAGGCTCTTAGAGTCCACTTGAGAAAACAGAACCTTCACGGAACCTTCAACGACCAATGGAGACAGGGCGAGTGGGACAGTCCCCTGCTGGCCCCTGGTGGTATATTCCTCTGTCCCTCCACCCCAGCCCCTGACCCCAGACTGGCACACAGGTGCACAGGAGATGCCCATCCGGTGACTCACTGCCAGAGTGGGAACAGCCATGAGTTCTGACTCAGGCAGGAGGATCAAGTAACAGCAACTCAAGCCACTTCCTGACCAGGCCAAGGACAGCTGGGCGTGCCCCTCACCAGCATCTCAGGCTACCTGACCGAACCCTGACCCCCCACCCCACGCCTGCCAGAGCCCCTGAACTGGGACTGTGATGTGAAAGGGTTCAACAGAGGCCTGGGACAGGGTATTCAGTAGGTGACCCCAGAGTGGACCTGACAAACATCTCACTAAGTCAGAGAAGCCAGTCAGAGAAGTCCAAATGTCGTAGGGTTCCATTTATTAGTTGGGTTTCTTTGATTGTTTGTTTCTTGAGACAAGATTTCTCTGTGCAACCCTGCCTTTCCTAGAACTCACTCTGTAGACCAGGCTGGCCTTGAACTCACAGAGATTTGCCTGCTTCTGCCTCCCGAATGGTAGGATTAAAGGTGTGTGCCACCACCACCAGCATATGGTTCCATTTATACAAAATGTCAAGACTTGGCAAATCTGTCATTTAGGGATGGCAGGGTCAGAGGACCGAGGGAGGGGTGACTCCAACAGGGAGCAAAGCTGTTCCAAAATTATGTTCTTGTGGTTTGAATAAGATGCCCCTCCCCGCCCCCCCCCCAAAGAGCCAGGCAATGGTGGTGCATGCCTTTAATTCCAGCACTTGGAGACAGACGGAGGCAAGTCGATCTCTGTGAGTTTGAGGCTAGCCTGATCTACAGAGCGAGTTTCAGGACAGCTAGAGACAAAAACCCCAAAGACTCATGTAATTGAATGTTTGGTTCTTAGTTGATGAAAGTGTTGAGGAAGGATTAGGAGGTGTGGCCTTGTTGGGGAAGGTGTGTCACTGGGGGTGGGCTTTGAGATTTCAAAAGCCCATGCAGAGCCCTGTGTGTGTGTGTGTGTGTGTGTGTGTGTGTGTGTGTGTGTGTGTGTGTCCTCTCTCTTTCTCTCCTCCTCTCTGCTGCCTGAAGATAATATGTAAGCTCTCAATTATCACTCCATTGTTGCCCTGCTCCCTGCCATGACAGGCATGGACTCACTCTCTGAAACTGCAAGCAAGCCTCCATTCAATGCTTCCTTTTATAATTGCCTGGGGCACGGTGTCTCTTCACAGCAACAGTGACTAAGGTAGTTCTAGTGATGGTTACAGAGTTGGTTGGTATGCAGGGAGGACGGGGTGGTGCTGGTTCATGCCATGGGTGAGCAGTGTGGTGCATGCCTGCGTGGGGTCTCAATGAGGCTGACACGGAGCCGCTGACTCCCCAAGAACAGAGCTGTCTCGCTGCCTGCAGCGTCTCATGGCTCTGCAGTCCTGTGGGGGCAAAGCCTCCCCAGTGTTTGGTGGATCCCGGTCAGCTAACACTCACTAGCTTTCTGCTAGACCAAGAAGAGGCTTCAAACTCAGCATCTTAAGAAGACAAAATGGCTGTACTTGTATGGAATCCTTGCTTTGTCTTGTTTGGAGGCAGGGTCTCAGGTAGCCCAAACTGACCTCAGATTTGCTGAGGATGGCCTTTGTGAAAAATCTCAATTGTTGACTTGATGACACGTAGAGTCACCTGGGAGGTGGGCCTCTGGGCATGCCTGGGAAAAGCTGTCTTGATTAGGTTAATCGGTTAATTGAGCAGGGAAGACCTGCTCACTGTGGGTGGCACCATGCCCTGAGCTGGGAGACTGAAGTGAATAAAAAAGGGACCTAAGCAGCAATATGCACTCATTCGTTCATTACTGCCTGCTTCCTGGACGTGAATGCCATGTGACCAGCTGCGTCAGGCTCCTCTGCTCTGCAGCCCCTGCCTTGGGGGACTGCATCCTTGACCTGGGAGCCGGAAGAAACCCTTCCTCCCTTAAAAGCTGCTTTTGTCGAGTATTTCCTCACAGCAGCAGGAAAAATGAAACAACCCAGAACTCCTGACTCTGACCCCACAGTCTGAGTGCTCCGGTCGGCGTGGGACACCACATCTGGCTGCTCCTGGTCTTCATGGATCTTTTGTTGTTGAGACAGGCCAGCTTCAACCTTGCTCTGGAGCTAAGGAGGACCTTGAATTTCTGATCCTCCTGAGTGCTGGGATTCCAGGTGTGGGCCACCACACCCGGTTTGTCTGATGGGACCCACACTTCCTGCGATCTGGGCAAGCACTCTACAACTGAGCCACGTCCTGGACTATGTTTATTGTCATTTATACCTTGAACAAACATTTCCTCTTGATAGGGCTGCAAGGGTCTTCTCTCATATAGAGTCCTTTATTAGTTTCTGTCGTCAAACCCTATGAATAAGACTTCAATATTTAGGGCAATGTCTCATTGACTTGTTTTGTTTTTCAAGACAGGTCTCTGTAACAGTTCTGGCTGTCCGAGGACTCCCTTTGTAGACCAAGCTGGCATCCCATCCAAATGCTGGGATTAAAGGCGTGTGCCACCACCATCTGTCAAGGACAAAGTCTTACCCTTATACAAACCAGGAACAAGGTCCTAAAATGTCCATGGTTCTAGGCCAATGTGGCTGTCAACTTCTGTCCATGCCAACTCTGCACAAAAAAAAAAAAACTGAGAGTCTTTTTCCCAAGTTGACAATCACAGCTAATATTTCTAAAAATCCATACTATACTTACACAGGCATCTATATTTCCATTTATATAAAAAAGCCAATAATCAAAGTATGTTAGGCAGCCAATAGCAACAGCCTTTCTAGGTTCTGCAGTCATTTGGACAAAGTATATAGTCCGTCATGCAATGTAAGTTTCCTTTTATATAAATTTATTTGGGGCTGGCAAGGTGGCTCAGCAAGTAAAGGACCTGCAGCTCAAGTCTGGTGATCTGGGTTTGATCCCCAGAAGTCACAGGGGGAGGAGCAAACTGACTCCTGGAAATTGTCTTCTGACCTCCTGGTGTGCACACCTGTGCATGCACAGGTACACTAGAACAGGCAAAAGCATGCACGTGCAGATGCTAACACACACACACACACACACACACACACACACACACACACACGCCTGGCCAATTCGTGGAAGCAAAAGGAAGAGTATGCTCAAGGACGCATTCTGCTTTATCTGTTACATCAAACAACAAAGTCCCCGAGTTTGGGAACTGGTGAAGGAGGCTGAGCCATAGACCAAGGAAGGCAGACTGACCTCTGTGCAGAGGGGGGAGATGGCAAGACCACTTAGGGCTGGCCAGGCTCTGATCTCCATGGGGGCTAACTACTCAGGTGTGTCTCCTTCACAAACACTTGTTCACTTACATTTTAGCCAACATCCTATAAATATCACCCACGTCCTCAGAGGTAAGATGGGCATGGAATCCCAGAACTTGGAAGATGGAGACAGGAGGATCAAGAATTTGACTAGACTGGGCTACACAGTAAGACCCTGTCTCAAAAACCAAAAGCCTGTCTGGGCGTGGTGGCAGAAGCCTTTAATCCCAGCACTTGGGAAGCAGAGGTCTGCATAGTCTGGTGTATATATTGAGTTCTAGGCCAGCCAAGTCTACATAGTCAGACCCTGTTTCAAAAGGGGGAGGGGCTGGAGAGATTGCTCAATGGTTAAGAGCACCCGCTGCTCTTGCAAATGAACTGGGTTAAATTCCCAGCACCTACATGGCCGTTCACAACAATCTGTAACCAGCTCCAGGACGTTCAACATCCTTTTCTTGCCTCCAAGGGCACCAGGCGCACACATGATACATAGACATACATGCAAATAAAACACCCATATGAATATAAGGAAAATGAAAAAAAAACTTTAAATATGAGCATGGGGCACACACCTATGATCTCAGGACTCAGGAGATAGAGACATGAGGATCAGGTCAAGGGTTCAAGGTCACACTCAGTTACATAGCCCGTTCGGGGCTGGCCTGGGTTACATGAGACACTATCTCAAATAATAAAAATGCAATGAGTAGCCCTGGTGTCAAAAGGCCCGAGTGGGAGGAGCTGTGACATGCCTATCAGGCACCAGCCCGCGCTATGAGTGCCTTGGGCAGATGCCTTTTCTGTTTGTCCCAAACTCCAGTGCCCCTGCACTCACCGCAAGCACTTGACCAACACGGCCATTCCCCAGCCTCTGTTTCTTAGCTTCTGCGTTCAACCCTCAAGATTGATTGAACAAATCATCTCATCAGATGGGGTGGGGAAAGCCTGCCTGGCAGGTGTCGTCTCAGTCTACAGGAAACCAAGAAGCCGGTCACACGCTGATGAAAGTGGGGCCCACTGCAGACCCAAATGGAAAAGGGCGGTTGGAAGGCTCATGCTCGCCATTGCATTTTGCAGAGGATACTAATTTACAGAAAAGGAGTGCCACAACAATCATTAAAGGCGAATCTCCCAATGCTTGCCCAGCATGCATGACGCAGAGGCAGGAGGATCCTAAGTTCAAAGCCAAGCTTGCCCAGCTAGTGAGTTGAAACTAGCCTTGGCTAGGTGAGACCCTGTCTCAAAAGGAAAATTTCAAAGCCTTAGGAGAAGTTCCTCATTCCGAGGTATCCGAAATAAGACCTACCTGCTCCTCATCTCACTTCTCCCTCCCCCAAAATCTGTCCCAGCGAACAAGGCGATGAGCAGTGCCCTCTGCTGGAAAGAGTCTCTTGCTTGCGGAGACAGCGGTGACTACAAGGGGATGCTGCCCCCTGGTGGCCGCACCCGCTGAGCAGCCCGAAAGCGCACATAGGCTTCTTCCAGAGATGGCTCAAAGCTGGCTGGCCCCACCTACTCTGCCCCTCTGCGCCTGCCAGCAGCCCGTGTTGCTGGAAGAATTGTCTTCTGAGGGCTCCGCCTATTAGAGACGATTGGGAGGAGACTCCAGGTTCTTGCCTGAAACCTCAAAGGCGGACCTCCAAAGGTGCCAGGTCCAGTAGCCACGCTCACCGCCAGAGCAGACCAATCAGGGCTCCCTGTCTTCCTGGCCTCGGTGATTGGCTCAGAGATGAATCTTCGCCGAGCAAGCGCTCCCTGGAAATGATTCTCAGGGACTGGAGAAAAGGATGTGTGTGTGTGTGTGTGTGTGTGTGTGTGTGTGTGTCCCTAAGGCGTCCCCATGATGGGCGTTCTGGACGTCCCTAAGGCGTCCCCATGATGGGCGTTCTGGATACTTCAGGGACAGCTGCTTAGGATAAGGCCAAAAAGAGACACGGAGAGCAGAGAGGCGCATCTCCCAACAACCAGGTAGTGTTCTTATTTTCAAACATCTATCATAGCAGTGTATTAGTGGAATGTATCTTCGTTGTGAAAAGAACTGAAGCGTTTCTTTTGGCCCACAGTTCGATGGTGCAGCCCACCACGGCCAGAGAAGTCTTAGCAGCAAGGGTGTGATGCAGCTAGTCGCGTCACATCTCAAGTCAGGAAGCAAAGAGCATGTTCAGCTAGCTACCTTTGTCTTTTTTACTCAGTCGACAACCCCTACCCATGGGATGGGTCTTCCTATCAGGTCAACTTAATCTAGGCAAGTCCTCACAGGCATGCCCGGAGGCTTGCCTCCTCGGAGAATCTAGATCCTATCCACTTGACAATATTAGCTGTCACAGCCAGTAATCCCTTCAATGGTGCTCACGTTTCTTCCTGTGAACAGACTAGTGAAATGCATTGGGTCACACCTAAAAGACATACAAGTAGAAGACGGACTAATTTAGATGAGGAGAGGGGTTAGTGGGAGAGGGCAAGAGAGCGTAACAGGTGGGGAGAGTGAATATAATCTAAATACATTATGGGGAAGGTTAGGTTGTCTACAACTGTTATACCCAGATCATGGGGACCCCCAAAAGACCACCATGGAGACTAGAGACCGAATCCCGTATGTAAAAGCAAAGAGCCTTTATTTTCAAGCTCTGAGCTTGGTCTCTCTGTCTGTCAGATGCAGCGGTGAGAGCAGAGAGCCCTGAGCCTAGGCAGGGTGGGGTTTTTATCACAGCAGAGGTTGGGGTGAGAGGATTTCCAGGGTTCAGGACCCTGATTGGCTGACATTTGTCTAGGGGTATCTGTAAAACAAAAATAGATGTGTACTAGACTCAGGGACATCTGGCCACCTTATCTAATGGTTGGAATGTTTGAGATGTCAGGTACTTCCCCTGAGATGTAGGCCCTCCCTGGGTGGGGTCAGCTTATGGCTTTTCCTGGGTCTGGGTGCTGCCTGCCAGTAAGCCTGTCACAGAAGCTGTGCCTGGGCCTCTAAGCCTGTCATGGCAGCTGTGTGGTCAAGCTGTTTTGGGGCCCCTCTACACAACAACCTATTTTTTCCTATGATTAATTTCAGTATTAATTTGAGGTGATGCCACTGCGCACATGTGAGTACGTATGGAGATTGATGTCTCCTCGCATCATGTGGATCCTGAGGATTAAACTCAGGTTGTCAGGCTTAGCCGATCGCAGCCCTTCACCGCTGAATTGTCTCATGGGCCCAAGAAACGCGTTTTACTTACGGTTTATACAGTGTTTGTCCCCAGGCTTCAGTCCAATGCTCAGGAATCCTGTCACATCAGCCACCTGGCCAGGTCATTCTGGACTGGAGCCAATGGTCTCCAGAAGTGGCTTTTCATCTTGAGACAATGGCAAATGTGCCCCCTCGGAACAAGGGCTTCTGGATCCCTTGTGTCTGTCCTCCAGGCCAGCCTGGATGCTTGCCGAGAAGGGAATTGAGCTGTTGATCCCTGCCCGGGCAGGGCTCTCCCCTGTCAGCTTCCATCTGGGTAATTAACCTGCTGGCAGTTGAGGGTCTGTCTCTGTCCATGTCCGTGGGCGGAGGAGTGTAGACGTCTCTGGATGCATGCCTGGCTGCTCTGAGAGGTGGCTCCTGGGTGACTTCGGGACAAGCTAACTGAGGTCCTGCTCTGGCACAGAAGGAGGTCCAAGGCTCAGGTATGTCATGGAGCTGGGGACAGATGGGGCTTCTGTTATGTGTTAGCTACCTGTGCTCTTCTGTTTCCACTGTGTCCTAAATCTTAGTTCTCTGAATGTGAGGGAGGTACCTACTTCAGTCAGTCCCCTGTGACTGTTTCCTCCATCCTCACTAACGGCACCAAGAACTTTCAAGGGTAACCTGGTTTGGCTGTTATTATGCAGACAGCGTCACATGCACCCCAGAGTGTTAGAAATGTAGCAGCAAGGTGAGGAGTGGGGTTCAGTTGGTAGAGTACTTGCTCAGTATGCAAGAAGTCCTGGGTTCTCCAGCACCACATAAGCCAGGTGTGGTGACACAGGCCTTGGGAGGTAGAAGCAGAAAAATCAGAAGTTCAAGGTCATCCTCAGCACTACATAGTGAGCTGGGGGTCAGCCTGGGCTATGTGAAAACAACAACAACAACAAAAACAACAACAACAACAAAAACCCAAAAAACAAACCAACAAAGAAACAAAAAAAACAAAAAGAAATCTTTGTCTAACTCAGTGTCCCCATGACTTTGAGTGCTGGCACAGGGACATTTCCTCAGCTGTTTGGGCACACTATACAACCCAGAATGCATATGGTGCCTTGGACACACCGGCAATTCCTGCCACACGTCTGGCTGACTCCACCAGTGAATGGTGAAGTTCAGGGTGAAGCCTGATGCTTCACTTTCTCTGGGATGCCAACATTCCAGCTCAGCACCCCTCCCTGGCAGAGAACGAAGGTGGGGAGGGTCAGTGCCCTGTGAGGTAGACGTGAGAAAAGTTCTCAAGCCAATATTCAAGCTGAATATCTGTTAAAAATGTCTTGGGCTTGAAGCTGGGGAGAAGGCTCAGTGGTTAAGAGCACTGGCTGCTCTTCCTAAAGGACCCAGGTTCAATTCCCAGCACCCACGTGGCAGCTCACAACTGCCTGTAACTCCAGTTCCAGACATGCATGCAGGCAAAACATGAATGCACATGGAATAAATTATTTTTAAAATGTCTTGAGCCTGGTGTGGTGCATGCATTCAATCATGGCACTCAGGAGGCAGAGGCAGGTGGATCTCTGTGAGTTTGAGGCTAGCCTGGGCTACACAGAAAACCTGTCTCAAAAAAAAAAAAAAAAAAAAAAAAAGAAAGAAGCATAAAAACAAGGTACGACCCAAATTAAAGATTCTCTGGAGCTGAGTAAATGCACCAAGTTTTCCTCAGATGTCAGCAGACAGATGACAAGATTTCAATAAAGGACACAGGAGAGATGGCTCAGTGGTTAAGAATACTGTATGGCCGGGCGACGGTGGCTCACGCCTTTAATCCCAGCACTCGGGAGGCAGAGCCAGGCGGAGCTCTGTGAGTTCGAGGCCAGTCTGGGCTACAGAGTGAGATCCAGGAAAGGCGCAAAGCAACACAGAGAAACCCTGTCTCGAAAAACCAAAAAAGAAAAAAAAAAAAAAAGCACTGTCTGTTCTTGCAAGGGACCCTGGCCCCGGTTTGGTTCCCAGCGCCCACATGGCAGCTCTCAACTGTCTGTAACTCCGGTTCTCAAAAAACAACAGAGTGGACAAGAACGCTACAGAACTGTCTGCAATCTGAAGGGCTGTTAGATGCAGCGAGGCCACTGTTAACTCTCTTCCACAGGCATTGTGTCTTTGGTGCCTCTGGCTCCACCGAATGCTTTGCCCAAGGGCTTGTTCAGGAAAGGCCTGAACAATGGCTCTAATTACCCGAGTGAGACCTAGTGGAGCAGGAGTACTAACCAGAGGCTGGGGGTCACCAGCAGCACTTTCGGGCTGCTGCTTCTTCTTTTTTGAGCTGAGGATCGAACCCAGGGCCTTGCGCTTGCTAGGCAAGCACTCTACCACTGAGCTAAATCCCCAACCGCCCCCCCCCCCCTTTTTGGACAGTCATGTTTAGTTCTATCCTAGGTCTCTAGGGCATCCATCTTCCAGATCCTGGCCATCCAGGCAATGTTGGACATGGGCTTCCTGTGTCTTGGACCTAGTTAGACTAGTCATTGGTTGGCCATCCCCACAAGCTCTGAGCCATTACCCCAGCACATAGTGCAGGCAGGACAAGTTGTGGGTAGTAGGTTTTATGGCTGGGTTGGTGTCCCAGGCCCACCACTAGGAGCCTTGCCTGCTTATAGATGGCCAGTTTAAGTTCCATACCTCCGTTGCTAGGAGTCCTCACTAAGATCACGTGACCTTCATAGGTTCCAGGAAGTTTCCATTGTACTGTTTGTGGAAACCTAGTGTACATTTTCTAAGGTCTGTGGCCAGGGAAGCATGGGAAATTGTTTGGCAACACTCACTGCATTGTGGAAAAACAGTAGAAATCAGGAGCTCAAGGTCCAAGCAGGATGGAGACAGTGAACAAGCAGAAGCAACCAGCAAGCTGCCTCGGGAGGTGGCTGGCAGAGGCTGCTGGAGTCTGGGTTTCAAATCTTAGGCCTTTCTCTACGCCTAAGTCATGAACAGTGAATGGCTAAGACAGAAGATAATTCCAGAATGACACAACACAGGGCCAGCACAAAGCTTGGAACTGGAAACAGCAAGGGACTCCTGTATCTGCAGGGCCACACAGGGAGCAATAACCAGAGCCCACTAATCAGATGCAGGGGCCATGAAGATAGCTCAGTGGTTAAGACCGTGCACTCAAGCTGGGCAGTGGTGGTGCACGCCTTAAATCCCAAAACTCAGGGAGGCAGAGGCAGGTGGATCTCTGAGTTCAAGGCCAGCCAGAGCTACACAGAGAAAGCCTGTCTCAAGAAACAAAAAACAAAAGAGTATGCACTCTGGCAGAAGACTCAAGTTCTGTTCCCAGCATCCACATTAGACACTACAACCACCTGTTATCCAGTTCTAGGGATCCAAAGCAACTGTGGGCATCTGCACTCACATTAGCAAACCTACATACACACAGGCATACTTATTTAAAAAAAAAAATTGTCAGGTGTGACGGTGCATGCCTTTAATGCCAGCACTCTGGAGACAGAGGCAGGCAGATCTGAGAATTCCAGGCCAGCCTGGTCTACAGAGAAACCATGAATTGGAACATAGCACGCACCCCCCCACCTCCCCATAAAAGAGGAAAACAGACACCACCCCCCCCCCAAAAAAAAGGGAAAGAAAAGCCAGGTGTGATAGCACATGCCTTTAATCCCAGGAGGCAGAGGCAGGAGGATCCATAGTTCAAGGCTAGCCTGGCCTATAGAGATCCTGCACAAAAGGATAGATCTGTGGGTGTCTGTAGAGCAGCTGTAGATGAAGACTGAGGCCGCTGGATCTCAGCCTTGTACCTGATGCCTTTCCCACTTCCTCTGAAGCCCTAGTTGGGAACCCCCCGCCCCCCCCCCCCAAAAAAAGCCACAGGGTGAGGAGCTGTCCATGTTATCTTCCTGGGAGCACCCAGCCAAGAGGACCAGGGAGAAGGGGTCTGCCCAGGACACAGCGGAGCCATTTGCTGGCCGCCACCTCCTTCAATCTGTAAAACTGGGTGATGAGACGATCTCCTTGCCACTGCCGAGGTGGGGCCCACGTCATATAACAGATGCTAGGTACTGGCATGGAGCCTGGCAGGTAACTCTTAAAGCATGGTGGTTATTCTTAGAATGTAAGTGGGGTAAAACTGGACTGAGGCAGCCAGGCGAACCCTGGAACAACCACATGCAAAGGGCAGTTGCACCTACTTGCCTGAGTCAACATGACTTCCAAGTCCAGACTGCCCTGACTATACTTTAGAATTCATACAAAAAGAAAAAATTCACACCTAGCCCTTCCCACCAACAGAGTGGCTCTCAGGTGTATTGTCACAAAACACCATTTGCTTAAAGCATACTGAGAGGATCTACCCATTTCTTTTTAAAAACAAAGAGCCAGTTAACAAAATCAGCCCATGGGGCCAGTCATGGTGGCAAGCACCTTTAATCCCAGTACTCAGGAAGAAGCAGGTGGATCCAGCTCCGTAGGTTTGAGCACCAGGCAATGCCAAGTGGTACACACACATACATACAAAACATTCACATTGAGATAAATCTAAAAAACTGGCAAGAGAATGTGCTGAGCCAGTAAAAAGCACCACCACACAAGCTCAAGTGTGGTCCTGATCCTTAGACCCCATCAACAAGGGTTGTCTTCTGACCTTTACATGAATGTCATGAATGTCAGCCTGGGCTACATAGGTTACCTAGCTTGGTTAGACCCTGGATTTGGTACCCTGAATGGAGCTGTCCTATAGATCCCAAAACTAATCTTCAAGTAGACAGTTGTTGGGAAATTGTGGCTTTCCTTACTGAGCAACTAAGCATCAAGGAGACCCTAGCAACCACAGGGGAGGTGCTCCCGTGGCAGGTAACAAAAGCTCACTTTAGCTGGTCAGAGCAGCCAAAGGTAAGCCTCTCCTCTTGGGGGCTGGCTCATAAACTGCCCCTCAGTTAAGCATATTATGAGCCATTTTCCTAATCAATACCTGTCCCAAGTGGAGATGCCAGCATGCTCCGCTTCTGAGATAGTAGCTCAACACCACCCTGCCTTTAAGCCAAATGTCTTA